TTGCAAGGGTTTATTGATTCATATGAAAATCTTAAAAAGATTTCGATTTCGTTACAACAGAGTTTCAGTAATATTACTGTTTTTCTGTGAATTTCAATCCTTCTGTCCATGAAAAGTAGAACCTAGTGAGACAAAAGTTCGTTCATATACAGATTTAATGCTTCTTGAGATATCCTGCATTTTTTTAAGCAGAAAGAATATTTGGTTCTTGGCTTCCTAATTGCTCAAGAAAACCAACCACTTAACACCGTATAGAGATATATGAAAGCTTTTTTTAATTCAGTTTATTTTTAGAAGAAGAAAACATCTATGATTCGTAGTAAAACAATTTTTCAACGTCGATTGTGTAGCAAATAAATATCACAAGGAAGAATGAATCATTTTTCTAATGCTTTTTATCTTAAGATTCACTTAAGTACATCATGCGCTTCATGTCACAACTTCTTTTTTTTCTGTGCTTGGTTTCGATTTAATGTTAAGAATAAAAAAATAAGTACATGTAGTTATTATGTCTCCACAAGTGATGCATCAATGGTGTAGGTGTGGGTGTGGGTGTGGGGTGTGGATATGAGTGTGGGTGAATATCTCTTCTTCATACACACACGCACATACACATACAGACAAACGCACTTTATTTGATATGAACCTCTCTAGAGTCGAGGGAATGAGAAAGCAGAGTTACTTTCTATTGTGATTTCGAGGCATAGCCACGTGGCTACGATCTTTGTAGAATACATCTCTTTATCTACCACCTACAGCATATGCGACAAAACGCTTATCTTTTCTTTTATGCCTTTATGTTTCACGACAGTCTCACTTGGCAACTTCACCTGTATGCGTCTTATTGCATCTCTTCGTATTTCGAGACACCCTCATTTGGCTTATTCTCCTGCGTGTCTTGTCACGTGTCTTCGTGTTTCGCGTAATTTCATTTTGTATGAAGGAATGTAAGTTTGGCTGTATCCATATTTTTAGCAGTTCATGGATATTGGACTAATTAAAAAAACCAGTACTTCAATGATGGAGAACTTGGATGCTTGAAATTTCAATAAACTAATAGTTGAATAATTGGGGTATACACAATAGAAGACTTAAAATTCATATTTTCAAGTTCCAAGTCTTCATTAATTGAATTTGATTTTAAAGTACGATATATATGAATCTGTGACAGAAAAATATACTTATCCTCATCATACATATATATTCCGATATATTCACATTATATATATGGCTATTTCGTCTATGGTATGCAATGGAAGCCTAAGAAATTTTGAGAAAAATAGGAGTATAAAGGAGAATTTTTATCATGTTTGAAATGGGTTTCTCATTCTTTCAACGAAGCATGGCTTACACAATTTTATTGATTGTGAGAGCTTTTCCGTAGACGCATACTTATAGTAGCATGCTTGTTGTTTGAGAATAGTTCGATTAGTTTGAATCAAATCTTCCTCATTTGTAGCCAGTTGATAACAGTAGAAATTGGGTAACTCTTAACTCATGAAAAGTGTTTCCTAATCACATAATCAACACTACTATAATATGTTGAATGCCAGCTTAGTCCATTTTCGAAAATAAGATCAGAAGTTGCTTTGCTTGCATCAGTGATTCTATATTCACCTGGCTACTCACATTGAGACATTCTAATAGTTTAATATTTCTGGAGCGCATGCAAGCATTCATAGCCAAACATGAACAGTCTAGCATCGACACGTAGGATAGAAAGATGTAGCGAGAATACATGGGATATATGGGGAGTGAGAGATACAGTGGACACGATTATGATACGCCAAATGCAGCGAAACTACTCAGGATATGCAACATTGTTACAAATTACGGATGATATCGAAATCTGCTCTCCTCTTGGAACAGAAGACGATTGGTTTCGTTCTTTTCTTCGCAAGGAGCGATGGTACTTTGTCTCTAATTTACGAAGCAAAAGAAAATAGTTTACTTCATTTTCAAGCATGTCAGAAGATCAGCTCTCTAATTTTCTTCAAATATAACGTTTTAAACGGCGTCAAATCTTTTCAGTAGGGGGTTAGCAGCATTTACGCTGCGTTACTTGCCTGTTGTTAATTTAAAGTTTGTTAGCACAGTTTCTATTAGGCTGAAATCCGAAAAGCATAGATTCTTTTTAGTTTCACTGTACTGCTATAAAATACAAAGTGTAAGACTCCTAACAAACAATAGTTACTGTTCCTATGATGACTCATTGTCAGTAAATACGGTCTTTTATGTTTTCAGATCTCGAACATGAATTTTTTTCGTCTGTGACGCTTGTTGACCAGTTTTTCTTTATTATTGGCGTATTTCATTTCTCATAATTTAAAATTCTTATTATTATAAGCATCGAATAAGATGGTAAATAAATGTGTCACAGATATCCATTATACCTAGCGTAGCCGACCGTAACTGAGGATTATATACTTGGGGGTACCCAAAAGTAGTGGCGAAGGTACCTTATTTTCATCTAGAAGGCTTGAGGAAATTTTCTTTTTGTATGAGCTGATAGACAAAACGAAGCTCTATTTTTCTGTTCTATTTCATCCCTATTCAAGTGGTATCATAATAATAAAATTTTGATAAGAACTGTTTTTGTTGAAAACTTAACTAACGGGTGAGGCAGATTAAATGGCTACGTTTTGCATTTCAGTTTTCAATCACTTAATACGTTGTGTTAAAAAACAAAATATACCACAAGATGCAGCGTGAAAAGCTCTACAATCTATACAAGATCGCTTATTTTAATTGCGCACTTCTTGTTTTCGAAAGAAAGCAAAGTTTTGTGCAACTGTCCCGAAAAAAATCATTTTTGTTCTATACGAAGAGAAATTCCTTTTCTCTTATCTCTTATATAAAATAAACTGTTCTTTATATTTATAAATTGTAAAGCTTTTCACGCTGCATCTTGTGGTATATTTTGTTTTTTAATACAACGTATTAAGTGATTGAAAATTGAAATGCAAAACGTAGCCATTTAATCTGCCTCATCCGTTAGTTAAGTTTTCAACAAAAACAGTTCCTATCGAAATTTTGTTATTATGATACCACTTGAATAGGAATGAAACAGCACAGAAAAATAGAGCTTCGTTTTGTCCATCACCTCATACAAAAAGAAAATTTGGATGTGGGTGTGGGTGGGTGTGGGGTGTGGGGTGTGTGTTGGTACTTCCCATCCCGCCATCAACACCCACACCCACACACCCACACCCACCCACACCACATCCACACCCGCGCACACCCATACCCACACCTACCCACACCACACACACACCCACACCCGCCCACACCCATGCCCACACCCACATCCACACACCCACACCCTCAAAGGCGCCATACATTTCAGAATGTAAATAAGACATTGTTACAAAAATCTATTGTAATCTTTAATCTCAAGTCTTAAAGAGTCAGATTTTCTCAATATATGTTCGAGAATTTTTTGCATCTATTCGATGATTTAACGGTTCCGGCTCGGTTCTCAATTTCAGTTTTTTGGGAACGCCGCTCTCTACCTGTATCCCAACTAGTGACTTGTTTTCTTACTATTTTATATTGAACATACTGTCTAATTTGATAATTTCAATTCGTAGGGTACAAAAAATCAACTAATGTCTGCGCCAGAATAAAAGAGGGGTGGGTGTAAGCTCAATAACTGGACAACCGCAATAGCTAGCGACCTGCGGTTTTCACCAATCGAAAGAGGAAGAGTGTGCACGTCTTTTTCTCCGATAATGTATACGACGAAATTCTTTTGAAACTAATGATATTTGAAAAACATGCAAAAGAACTCATGAAAATGACCTGCCAGCTAGATGAAATTTTGATTTTGACCTTCGATTTAGATAGAGGAACTTGAGATCTATAGTTCAAGATACAATGCAAATGAATGTCTTATTACATTCTAACGTTGAGCAAATAGAATCATGTACTTACATGCGCAAATAATAGGAAATTTTGCTGATTTTTTACTAAGTTTTCGCACTTTTTATCCTAGTAGCTTTAGATTTCGATGAATATGTAAGAAAAAGTAAGAAAGCGCATTGTGTCTTGAACTGTAGATCTCAAGTTCCTCTATTTAAATCGAAGGTCAAAATCAAAATTTCATCGAGCTGGCAGGTCATTTTCATGAATTCTTTTGCATGTTTTTCAAATATCATTAGTTTTAAAAGAATCTCATTGTATACATTATCTGAAGAAAAGACGTGCCTACTCCTCCTCTTTCGATTGGTGAAAACCGCAGGTCGCTGGCTATTGCGATTGTTGAGTTATTGCGTTTACACCCACCCCTCTTTTATTTTAGCACGGACATTAGATGTTGAGTCGTTAGGCCAATAGAAAGAAGGGTGTTTTCAGTCGTTCTATAGTTTTAACTTTAATTTCGATTGTTTGTTTTTTAGTTATGATTAATCTAAACCATGACACAAAAACGCGCTGAGTGGTTTTGGAAATCCAACAATAACCCGTTTCTAAATACGGAATTACCTGAGTGGAGTCGATACTCGGATATTGAGAATGAAATTATCGAAGAAGCATTTACAAAGTTGAAGAAACCGAATGTCATCCTCGACGATCATCATATTGATTTCGAACACCTAGTTCAAATTGCGAATGATGATAAAAGCAAACAACGTCCGGTGAAACGAGTCGAGATGAACACAGAAGAAAGACGGCTGAGAGAAGCACGTTTTATGCCCAATCCAATAGCACCTACTAGTTCGTTTCATGATTTAATTGGATTGAGAAAGATTTTCATTGATCGTTTCATGGAGCTATTCGATCTCAAATTTATCCATGACTGGGAAAAACGAAAATATGAGCTTGTAGAGAAGGCAATGACGGGTATTTTACATGAAGGACAACTGGCTGGAAAACAAAGTGAAGCTAAATGGCTTATTCAACAGTTGGAAAAAGTCAAAAACAAGACAAAGACAGAGATTGGTGAATGTTGCGTCTATCTTTATTCTCTCGAATCATTTCTCTACAAGATTTTAAACCATACGATGCGTCTTATCGGTGACAAGGATCATGAAAATGTCTGGCGAAGTAAAATAGAAACTTTTGGTCCTTTTGCTTTTCTTCTCCATTATTATTTGTCTTATGAAAATGTATATCATCGAACAAGCACTACTATATATCGAGGTGCTCAATTAACTGATAAAATGATTGCTGAATATCAACGTGTGGCTCAAAGCAAAGATTCTCGTCGATCATTTCAAGCATTTACATCGTGTACTCGCAATCGAACCAAAGCTGAACAATTTGGTAACGTTTTATTTGTGTTGAATGCTGAAAATCGTCGATCATATCGCACGCTAAATATGGATATTTCTTCTCTATCTGCTTATCCGGAGGAAGAAGAAGTACTTCTGCGACCAGGACGATCTTTCAAAATTGAACGTGTTGAAATCGACAAGACTAAAAACAAACATGTTATCTATTTAACATCGATATCTACAAGTGATAAACACTAGTTGTTTTCATAATACAACTATTATATAATTTGAAACTTATTCTTTTCCTCATTAAAAACAAACGATGAAGTTCTTTTCAATAACTCCGGAACACCTATATCTATTGAGTTCATGCGTTTTCTGTTTAAGAATGTGGTAGGGTGGGTGTGGGGATGGATGATGGTATAGGCTGTAGATGTTGCTATGGTTTTAACTATTCCCTACACTCATATCCACACCATAACCACAGCGCAAATTTTCTTCTTTCTTCTCGAAGGTCAGTTCACCTCTTGTTTCGAATAAAGAGAAGGCTTTCTTCGCATCTGAGGGAGAGTAAATTATCTCGTAAAGACACACTCACACTATTTCATCATTTTAGCTCATTATATGAGTGAATGCGTTGAAATCTGAGCTCAAGTATGAATGGAAGTTCACTAAGAAAAGAGTTGCTGGTAATAAATCTTCAGCAAGATTCCATCATTGCAAATGATCCGTTTAAACATACACCTGTACAAGTCGGTCATAATACATCCAATTTAAAAGGGTCTGTGTGTGGATGCGGGTGTCGGTCTGAGTTTGTGTGGGTGTGGATATGGATATGGATAAAGAGAAGACCTGACTCCATACCCCATCTCACACTCACACTCATACACTCACACCCCACACCAATACCCACATCCACACCCACACATCCACATCCACACCCTGATTGAGAGAGCATTAAATTACTTTTTTGTATTCCCGTTTGCATCTAAAAGTTACAAATATAAAAATATAGTGATTCTTGAAAAAAAATAGAAGTTTAAATTTATCAATAATTTAATTATGAGTGATGTCAATATTTGTTCATTGGTTGAAAAATAAGTGAAACCATAATCAGTATGATGAATAATCATCAAGTCTATTGTTTGAATAATGTTTGATGTCAAATAAGTACGCGAACAGCATCACAAATACGACCTTCACTTCAATAAAAAAAAGAAAAAAAATCATTCATATATATAATCAAATAAAAGTTAGTTAAACTTAGTGACTATTTCGAATAATGTGTGCTTCACCTGGTTGTACTCCTAGCATACGATACATAATCTGAACAGAAAAAATAATCGATTTCTAAATTAGAAATATTTGAATCCATCTATCAATAGAATGAAATAAAGTAAATTATTGTTACTGCAAAAAATTAAGAAAAAAGAATCGACATTTTTTTCTTACTATTTTTAGCAAAATTATGTATACTTCATGAAGTAATCTGAAAAGATAATGTTATAAAAAAAATTATTTCAAAGAATGCATAAGATCATAAACTTGTTTTTTCTATATAATACTACTCGAAAGAAAAAGCTACTTTTTTGCTTTTTGAGAATTTTTTTAAAAAGTAATGCGTTTGTATTATTCCTTTTTTCAACTATTTTAGATTATTTTCTCAATATTGTCGGAAGGTATGGGTGTGTATGGGTGTGAGTGTGGGTGTCAGTGTGGGTGTGAGGTGAGGTGTGGGTGTGGTGTGGGTGTGGGGTGTGAATGTGGGTGGGTGTGGGTGTGGGTGAGTGTGGGTGTGGGTGTGGGTTCAGATCATCGCTATACCTGCACCCACACCCACACCGACACCCACCCACACCCAAAGTACGTCAAAGTAGATACTTGAAGTAGCTCAAAGTACCACCCAAGTACCCAAAAGTAGGAACGAGTAGCTTAAAGTAATTTAAAGTAACTTCAGGTAAATTTGAAGTTGAAAAGTACTTCAAAGTAAGCTACTTCAAGTAGCTGAAAGTAACTTGAAGTAGCTTAAAGTAGTTCAAAGTAACTTCAAGTCCAAAAGTCCGCCGTTTCCCCCTTGCATTTAATGCTTGCTAATTCAGGTCTATCGTCTTCAGAAACTTTGCTTTCTGTTTTTTTCAAAAAAGAATAGTTTCTATTAACCTAATTTAACGTGTTATTGATCTGGACATGATGTAAAATAAACCGTAGATAAAAAATTTCTCAAAGAATTTTTTTCTGAGATGTTCTTTTTAACTAGATATTTTCATGCTTTAGAAAGAGCATCAATAGATGTCACTTTTTACTAATAATAATCTATTTGATGAAGCCTCAATTTTTTTGTTGAATTTAATATTTCAAAAGCTGTTTATAATAATAACCGTCTCTTCATCGCACAAAGATGAACACATGTAATTCATAAAAATTGTTCTGCTTTCAATCTAACAGAGAGATACTGAGAAATTTCGACTTTCAAATATTTAGTAAAAGACCTCATATGCACTATACTTTCCTATATTTTTGCAGTTACTACACACTACAGTTTCATGGCGAAATCATAGGTAAATCAAAACGATCAACTCAATACGTTCATAAGTCAAAAATATGTAACATGAAGACTATCATAGGTAACAGTTTCTTCAAACAAATTAAAAGAGGACTTTGTTCCATCATTTATCAATACGATAAAATCTTTTTGCCATGAACACGGTCAAGATTTTTTAGTCATGTTTATCATAGTATGTCAAATCGAGAGATATGAATTAATCGTTTCCAAGCAAGCAACAAAATTTTACAGAAAACAACTCTACAGTAATTCAGCAGTAATTAGAGGTTTTATTTAATTGCTTTTTGCTTTCTGATTTTGATGAATTTTATTTAGAAGGCTAGCAGGACATGATATTAAGTTTTCAAAAAGTTCTCAAAAGATGCCTGTCTTTGTTTCAAAAAAAGTGTGAACGATGATCAGTTTTGAATTCAATCGATTAATAACTGATCGAGAGACAATAAAAAAATAAAAATAATCAAAATAAAAAAATTACTTTAAAATTAAATGAAACTCAATTTGACCACAAACGCCATCTTTCAAAAGTGCTCTCGCATTATTGGTCTACACGGGTGAAATATAGAGTCTGAAATGAAGTTTGGTTCACTTCTGACGACCGAAAAAATGGCACTTGCATCAAAATCGGAATCAGTTTTTCTTCGATTCAATTAAAATCGTAGAGTATGATATTAGTTTTTACAATATTTTTTTCCAACATATGCTTTCTCAAGTCTTTATCATGAATAATACTATGCTGGAAAAATCCAAGACATTGATGATTCAATATTTTTTTCTCGTTCTTCCTACTATAAAAAGCATTGGGATCGAGAAAAGAAAACATTAATTCAATACGCGATCGTATACAATGGCCGAAATCTCTCATGTGGATAAATCCAAAAAACCTGTTATGTATACATTTCGATTCGGTGCGTCTGATGAACATGTACATCTTACAGAAACGGAACTCAATTGCATTCCGTATTTAAAGAAATTTGTGGAACATAAAAATGATTTTTCATCGCATCAAAATGAAAACGGTGAATTTGTGTTGAATGATTTTATTGAATTTACATGTTTCATGGCAATTTTGCGTTCAGTTATCTCCCGACAACCATATAGATTATTTAGCGAACTGTCGGAAAACTATAATATTTGTGATGCACTTCAATTATTTGATTATCTTAATATCGATCCATTTCCTTTACCTATTCTCAAAGACAGATCTTTAGTATTAACCAATGCAATCAAAGTTCATAATGATGAAAAAATTATTAAATTTCACAAGGCAACACTACTCGAAGCACAACAAACAGCTGCAGAGTTTATTATAGCTCTTCATAAAAATGAATACGATTTAAATGATTTTAATACAGTAAATGAAATTTTTCGTTTGATCAAAATAATAGTCTCCAATCGAGCTGTTTTTAGTCCAAGATTTCGTCATCATACGATTATAGTAGCACAACGATGTTGTTATGCGTTCTTTTCTAAAACGAAACGACGCCAACTACCTACTATTCAAGCACTTGCTAAAGCACACAAGAAAGATAGCTTAATGTATAACTACAGTAAATACTCTTCTTATCTTCCTGGTGACTTCTGTAATACGTTCGCTTGGAGAGGTGCCTATGTGCAAAAAGAAGACAGTCACACTAATGCTTTATCGACAAGCTCAAAACAAGAAGATTTGCTTGGTATTTTCAACTTAAGACGGGAAACAATACATAATGACAGTGACCTTTTTAATGTATCATTCGTGGATAATTCAGAGCAAACCACTATGGTTGATTGGGTATCGTTTAAACTCTTTTATCGTAATCTGACAACAATATTGGAATCGTATATACTTAATATCCAAGTAACATCCAAGGACGGAAAAATACACAACTTCGAAGATGTGCTTGAAAAAAAGGAAAATGAAGCAAAAGCAGCTCGATCAGGACTCTTTAATACATTACCGAAACGACCTAAAGTCGACAAGTGCAAGCATCGATTTGGTCCCAAAACTAAAACTTATCGATAAAAAGATGTTTTTCAAAGTAGTTTTACCTTCATTTTTTCAATTAAAATTTACCAAATGAGTAGTCTTTCTAATAAAATTTGTATATTGGTTCAATTTTAGTGCGATAATACTAGAAATTGTATTAGATCCTAATAAGACATTATTTTACTCTAGGGATCTAAGAATGCCATACCATATGGTATTGGGTATGGATGTAAATGAATTGAATACCTATATCCTCAAGTCTGCTTGCAACTCTGAAAAATAAATTGGATTCAAGAAAATCTTCGTCGATTTTGACTGAAAGTATTCCGTATGATTTAGAAAAATGATTTTGCATCTACTCATACAGTTCAGATCAAAGAAAAATAGATATGTACAAATTTTTATTTTTGAAAAGATAAAAAAGACGTCTTTTTTTTCACCAATGATAACAACTTATTTGCACTGTAAAAATCTAAGTTCCTATGTTTTATTCTTCTTCTTTTTTCATTTTTTCCATACTCCAATATATTACCCATAGCTGAAAGTGAATAGGAGTCGATACTACTCATCGAAAACAATCAACAAGACCTCCAAAGTATATCTTTATTCAGAAAATATTCTTTGAAGATGCAAAAATATTTGATACAAAAATTATATGCTCTACTAGCTAATTTATCTCATAGGACTATGGAAAACAGTAAATAGAAATAAAACATTTTGTCGAGACAGAATAGTGATACCTATTAATTTATGTTTTTATCATCAATATTATACAATTAGCCATTATAAATAATGACTGAGGATGTGGGTGTGGGTGTGAACAAAACAACCACACACACTCATACCTCGCACCCACACCCACACCCTAATCATTAAGTCTATTGCTTGAATAATGTTTGACATCAAATAAGTACGCGAACAGCATCACGAATACGACCTTCGCTTTCAACAAAAAAAAGAAAAAAAAATCATTCATATATAATCGAATAAAAATTAGTTAAACTTAGTGACCATTTCGAATAATGTGTGCTTCACCCTGTTGCACTCCTAGCATACGATACATAATCTGAACAGAAAAAATAATCGATTTTTGAATTAGAAACATTTGAATCCATCTACCAATAGAATGAAATAAAATAAATTATTGTTACTGCAAAAAATATAGGAAAAAGAATCGACATTTTTTTTCTTACTATTTTTAGCAAAATTATGTATACTTCATGAAGTAATCAGAAAAGATAATGTTATACAAAAATTTATTTCAAATAATGCATGAGATCATGAAC